AGCTGTGGCTTTTCATAGATACCCTTTATCAGGAAAGGAAGTTTCCTTCCGTTCCTAGTTTGTTGAATGTTTCTATCGTGAAGAGTGTTGGATTTTGTCAAATGCCTTCCTGCATCTATTGAGATGATTGTTTGGTTTTTGTCCTTTATTCTATTGATATGGTGTAATGCAGTAATTGACTTTTGATTTTAAACCAACTTTGCATTCTTAGAATAATCCTACTTGGTCATAGTATATAATCCTTTTTGTATGTTGCTAGATTCCATTTGTTAACATTTTGTTGAGGATTTTTGTGTCTGTATTCAATATTTACTGATTTTTTAAAATAAAGTTTAATTGAAAAAACTTAAACATACAAAAAGTCTAGAAAACAATATAACAGACATCTGTTTCCCCAAATTAATCAGTGCCTAAAGAAACACCAGCTACTTTTGTCTTATTTTTGTCAGAATGCTCTCCTTTCCTCTCCCACCCTTCCCCTGCTCTCTCCTCTTGTCTCTCTCTCCCTCCCTTTTGAGAAGTAAAGTATGGGAGTCCAGTGCTGGCCAAGATGGAGTAAGCCCCTTACAGGCTCTCTCTCCTGCTGATTACAGGTAAAGACTCTGGAAAAAATGTTAAAAAAAAAAGTATGCAAATGCTGATAGACTGGGAGGGGAGTCGAAACTTGGGGCAGTGACCTGCAGTGTGAGTTTTCCTCTTTCTCTCATGGCTGTGACCCTAGGCCAGCTCCCAGTTGTGGGCTGTGCTCTGGGGGCTGCTGCACAGGCAGCAAAAACTCCAAGAGAAACCCCCATCCTTCTGCCTAGAGGAACTGTGAAAGGGCCCTACAGGCAGGAGTGTGTGAGGGAAAAGCAAAGGAGCCGGAATAATCAAAACCATTTTGAAGAAGAAAAGGTTGGAGGGCTCAGTTCACCAGATAGCAAGACTTAGTATGAAGCTGTAATCAAGACTGTGTGATATTGGTGAAGGATAGGTACGTAATCAGTGGATCAGAATAGATACTCCCAAAATAGACCCACACAAATATGGTCAGTTAATTTTTGACCAAGGTGCAAAGGCAATTCAGTGGAGAAAGGATAGTCTCTTCAATAAGTGGTATTGGAATAATCAGGCATCCATCTGCAAAAATGGAAACTTGACTGTACCCTGCATGTTACATAAAAATGAACTCAATTCAATCATAGACCTAAAGTAAAACCAAAAACTTTTTAAACTTCTAGAAGAAAACAGAAAATCTTTGTGATCTTGGGTTAAGCAAAGCATTGTTGGATATGACACCAAAAGAGTGATCCATAAAAGAAAAGTCGATCAGTTGAACTTCATCAAAATTTAAAACTTCTCATCTCCTAGAGACTGGTAAACCAATGAAAGACAAGCCACAGACTTCGAGAAAATATTTGGAAATTACGTAATCTAACAAAGGACTTTTAACCAGATTATATAAAGAACTCTCAAAACTCAATAAGAATGCAAATAACCACCCCAAAAAAGTGAACCAAAGATTCTAACAGACACTGTGCCACAAAAGATACACAGATAAAAAGTAGGCACATGAAAACGCCCAATTAGTCCCTAGAGAAATGCAAATTAAAACCACGTGATAACTGCACGTCTATTAGTAGAGGTAAAATGAAAAATTAATTTTTTTAAAAACCCCACCAAACCAAGTGCTGGAGAGGATGAGGAGCAGTTGCAATTCTCATAGACAGCTGGTGGGAATGCAAAATGGCACAGCCACTTCGTACACGGTTTGGCAGTTTCCTATAAGGTTAAACATATGACTCAGCAGACTGAGGTCTTTACCTAAGAGAAATACAAACGTTTACCCAAATATCTGTGTGCAAATATTTATAGTGGCTTTATTCAAAAGTGTCAAAAACTGGGCTGGCTAGCGCAGCGGTCAAGTGCGTGCACTCCGCTTCAGTGGCCCGGGGTTTGCACGTTCGGATCCCGGGCTCACACCAACACACTGCGTGTCAAGCCACACCGTGGCGGCGTCCCATACAAAGTAGAGGAAGATGGGCACAGGTGTTAGCCCAGGGCGGGTCTTCCTCAGCAAAAAAGAGGAGGATTGGCATCAGATGTTAGCTCAGGGCTGATCTTCCTCACAAAAAAAAAAACAAAAACTGTTAAAAAATGAAAACAACCCACATTTTCCAGCTGGTGGATGGATGAACAATAGGTACATCCATACAGTGGAGTCAACTACACAGCAGTAAAAACATATTGTTGATACTCCCGAAACATGGATGACTCTCAGATGCATTGTGCTGTGTGAAAGAAGCTGGACTCAAGAGGCTTCCTGGCGCGCGGGCCCCGTGGCTTAGCGGTTAAGTACTCGCGCTCTGCTACTGGCGGCCCGGGTTCGGATCCCGGGCGTGCACCGACGCACTGCTTCTCCGGCCATGCTGAGGCCGCATCCCACATACAGCCACTAGAAGGATGTGCAACTATGACATACAACTATCTACTGGGGGGCTTTGGGGAAAAAAAAAGGAGGAGGATTGGCAATAGATGTTAGCTCAGAGCTGGTCTTCCTCAGCAAAAAAAAAGAGGAGGATTAGCACGGATGTTAGCTCAGGGCTGATCTTCCTCACAAAAAAAAAAAAAACCTCCCTGGGGCACGAGTCCATTTATGGGACAGTCTGGAAAAGGCAAAATGAAGTAACGGAAAACAGCGGTCTCCAAGGTTTGGGGTGGAAGAAGGCTTGACCGCAAAGGGACTTCTCAGGGACAGAACTGCTTTGTGATTGTGGTTACATACTTGTGTACATTTGTCAAAAAGTCATAGAACTGTCACCAGAAGGAGTGATTTTTACTGCATGTAAACTTTAAAAAGTGAATAAAGCGAGAAATAAGTTTGAGGTACAGCTAAAAGCTAGGGCCCCATTCCCACCCCGTCTTCCTCCCGCCCTGCCTGGGTCCCGGCAGTGCTGTCCTGAAGTTGTGAATGTTGTTCTTATTTGTGGTTTTGTATTACTGTGTGTGTTTGTAAAATTATAGGAAGACGGATGGTGGTTTTATGTGTTTCAAACATTTACATAAATGGTACAATACTATATGTATCTTTCTGGAACTTTATTCCTCTCAACATTGTGTTTCTGAGTTTTCTGTGTGTGGAACTAGTTCATCTGTTTTCACTTCCTGTCTTAGCCTGCTCGGCTGCCATAACAGAATGCTGCAGACGGCGGGGCTTCCACAACAGGAATTGATTTCTCACAGTGCTGGAGGCTGGACGTCTGAGGTCAGGGTGGTGGCCAGTTTGGTTCCTTGAGGGCCAGCTTCCTGGCCTGCAGACACCGCCTCTGCTGTGTGCTCACAAGGGGCGGGGGTGGGGGGTGGGGGTGGTGCTCTGTTCTCTTCCTTTTCTCATAAGGGCATTAATCCGGTCATGGGTCACTGCCCTCATAATCACCTCCCAAGGCCCCACCTCCTGAAACCGTCCCACTGGGCTAGCGCTTCAACACATGAGCATTTGGGACGCAGACGTTCAGTCCATGGCTCCTTGAGCCGGTTCATGCAGCATATGATCGTTTGTTCCCTGGGAGTCAGTCAGAATGTTGTGGACTTTCATTGTTAACATAACCCGTGCTCCAGGGCAGATCCCGTACGTCCCCATTTCCTCGTGCACACACCTGAGAGCACACCTGGAAGGAGATTTGCCTTCTGTAGGGTTTGTGCATTGCAGCTTTGTTAACTCCCTTGTCTCCAGAGACCGTGGCGTCCCTGCACCCTCTGCCCTGCTCATGTTAACTGGCCTCCACAGCCACTTCCTGCTGCTTTGCCAGGGTCAGCAGTGTCCTCCTCAGGGTAAAACCCAGGGGACCCTTTTCCTTCCCATCTTCCTTCATCTCAGAAGGTTTGCCACTCAGGCCACCCATCCTCACGATGCCCTCTCCCCTGAACAGCTGAGAGCCTCAGTTGTCCTGCGCTCTGGACACTCCTCATGCTCCTTCCCAGGTGCGTCTCCCTCCACCAGCCCCGAGATCCCCAGGGAGTCTTGGCCATGGTCCCTTCTATCATCACCGTCTCCTGCCATCTTATCCTCTCTGATAGTGTTTGCTGGTAACTGGTCTCCAGCCCCAGCCCCAGTCTCTTTCCTGACCTGTAGACACCGAGTCCACTGCCCGCAGCACCTCCACTGGGGCGGTCTAAGGTGCCTTCTCTGACCTGTAGATGCTGCATGCACCACCCGCAGCGCCTCCACAGCAGAGCCCTGCAAACTCTGTGAATGGGCCACTCTGACAGTGACTCTACTGGCTTTGGTTAGAATCCAAAGACTGCAGGGCTGCCCCGTGCAACTGGAGTTCCAGCCACGGTGCCTCCAACCATCCCAGCCACACCTGAACTCTGATCCCAGGAGGTGCCAGGGTCTCTTCTGCCTGGAACCCCCAGTACCTGGCATCTCACTTGTCTTCTCAGACTCAATGTCCAGGGAGCTCTGTGCTGAGGGGTGTTTGCTGGCTGTGCCCGGCCCAGCTCCCCACGTGGGCTGACATCAGGACCCCTCGCCAGCAGGAGGAGTGAGAGCGCCATCCACTGGTGCCGGCAGATTCGCAGCCAGAGTGTCAGCTGTTTCCTACACAGGAAATGGACAGGCACTAGCCCTGCACGGCTGGGGCAGGGCTCTGGAGCCAGGACGTTTAGCATAGTCCTCTGGGACTCGGGCCTACAGAGCTTCCCACATTTAGGATGAGAATGTCTAACAGTACAGCATCTGGGGTTGGGGTCAAGGGTTTTAGGCCCATTCCCTGGTGACATGGTGTGTAGAGCACACACCATATGTCATATGTGCCTTCTCTTGCCTCTCCTGTCTCTAGAGGGGTAAACTGAGGCAAGAGTGTGTCTTCCAGATCACAGTGTTTAGCGGTGACATGGCACTCTTCCAGGAGGCTGGAAATACAGCTAGCTCCCTGGGAGAGGATAGCTAGGCAAGGACCCTTCCCACCCCTCAGGGCAAATTCTTTCAGCCACCACCAAGCCCCTACCAGAGAGGGCGTGCCTCCTCCCAGGCCCCGCCCCACCCTGCAATATGACTGAAGCCAACAGAGGCAGACCCCCAGGAGCACCCCCGCATGCTCAGAACTATGCTTCTTCCCAGGCCTCGCCATGTCCGCGCCCCAGACACCAGAGTCAGCCCTTGATGCGCGGGGAGACTCCTCCACAGCCACAGGGGAAGAGGATGCTGCCGATGGGATCCAGCACTCCCATCGCATGCTTAGCTTCAGCGATGCACTGCTGTCTATCATCGCCACCGTGATGGTCTGTGTAGGGGCCCCACCCAGAGCCACCACACCCTCTGGAGGCAGCCTTCTGGTAGAGCCAGCCCAGTGCAGACCCTGACCCGAGCCTCAAGAGCATCTTGAGCTCCCCCATGCCCTTCAGGCAGCTGGGACGTTGGAGGGAGCAGCCCAGGACTGACCCGAGTCCCCAAAACCATGGCATCTGAGGAGCGGGCAGTGCCCAGCCCAAGAACTGTCCCTCAGTTCTTTTTGTGTCTTTGTTCTGTAGATCCTGCCTGTGACCCACACGGAGATCTCCCCGGAACAGGTACTTGGGGACCGTCTGCAGCGTCTAGTGAGGGTGAGGGTCCAGGAGACTCACTCAGTCCATTAGCCCAAATCTGGGCTCCATTTGGGGCACACTTGGCTGGAGGGGTGGGGCAGGGCGAGGTCATCTGCTGCTTCTCCCAGAGACACCGCTCAGCCTGTCCTGGCTGTGAACAAAGGCAGAGGAGAGACTCAAGAACAGGCTAAGAAAGGGGTTTCCTGAGCCCCTGTGCCGGCAGGCTGGTTTCCCTGTGAAGGGAATGCAGCAAGCATCGCAGGGGAGCTCCCCTGGGGTCTCCGCTCTGTTGTCCCTGGAGTGTCTCCTGGAGTGTCCCTCGTGGTAGGTGCTTGGGGAGCAGAGGGCGGCTTGCCTGCCTGACCAGCAGGCACAGTGGCTGGCGGCCTCAGGGCGAGATGCTCCCACCTGGGCCTGCTCAATGCAGAAGAACGTGTGGGTTTTATCATGGAAGTGAGTGGGGAACAGGGTTTTCTCAAGCAGAGTGTCCATTTATAGCCGATTTGGAATATTTCCGTTTTATAAGTAAGATAGTGACACAGCACCTTAGAAGCTGGACGTGATTTGGAAGACATTTGGCAGTCTCTAGGCATGCATGTGTGAGCGTGCCTCGCTCGGCCTCCTTGGTGTGAGTAGGGTATCATCTCAAGGCACAGAGAAGCGAGGATGCGCACGGCTGTGGTCGGCTCTGGTCCCAACACGTGCTCTCAGCCCGGATGCCACTGGAAGGCATGGCAGCTGCTGAGAGTTTCACTTTTTCATCTGTGAAAAGGTGGTAACAACACCTCTCAAGGGTTTTGATGAGAATCACATGGATATGCAGGTTGAGCCTGGCATTGGCAGGGGCACACAGTGCAGTGAGTAGAGGGCCCAGTGCTACTTCCTCTGCTCCAGAGCCACCCCCTCCCCAAGGGCCCTCAGGAAAGCTGTGTCCCCACTGGAGGCGTCAGTGCTTGCCAGGCTGTGCCTGCTCCAGAACATTCTGGGGAGGGCTTGGGACAGGCTGGCGACCTCACTGCCAGGTTTCAGGAAGGGTTGTAGGTGTTCAAGCATGAGATGAGGAGGTCACACAAGAAAGCATGTGAGACCAAACCTCCTCACTTCTCTGCAGTCAAGGTCATCTTTTTGGAGATTATAACTTTTTATTGAGCAATCATCTCTCTGTATGTGCTAATTGGTTCACGGAGCGAGCTCAGAGCCAGAAAGTTCCGCGTGGTCTGGCGACTCCTTCAGACGGGACATTCCTGGGACACGTGAGCTTCCTGAGGAAGTGCCGGCAGGCGCTCTTCCTGACACGAAGGCAATTAGTCAAGACCTGGAAAGGCTAGTGATTCAAAAACCATGACCACTTGATGAAATACTGGGTCGCTGGGTCAGAGACCCACGTGCAGATAAAGAGCCAACAAAAGTGGCAAAGCAGTCAGCTTTCCATTTTGAGTTTTCGCTGGTAGAGCGTGAAATCCCTCCTCATGATTTCAAGGCCCAGGCTTTGTGTGGAGCCCGTTTCCCCCTCGACTCCAGTCACCTCGGACCTGGGGGAGGAGCCACTGCCCCCTCACGGGCTTCACAGCTATTTTGGAATCGGAATTGTTCTGGCAACGCTGTCGACTCACTGCGTGGCAGCAAGGCCCGTGGCCACTCTGCTCCGGCCTGGGAGCGGCTCAAGGAGAATCTCTGCCTTGAGCTGGCATTTAGCGTAGAACTCCACACAAGACCACAAATACATATCTATGGGATGTGGTGATCGGCGCCGTGGAGAAGGGTGTGGGCCTCAGTGTCAGGGAGACGGGAGGGCTCAGGGACAGGCGGGGTAGAGACTGAGCCAAGAAGGGCAGGCGGGAACCTCTCAGGATTTGGGGTCTCAGTGCCTGGGGTGGGCTGCCAGCTGCCGTGGCATGAAGCCGTCTTGATTGCCATGCTCTTCTGTTCCAGCCATTTGACAAAAGTATACAGAAACTTCTAGCAACCAGGATTGCCGTCTACCTGATGACGTTTCTCATCGTGACCGTGGCCTGGGCAGCACACACGAGGTACGGGGTTGGGCCGGGGGCTTTTCCAGGCCGAGGTCTGCATCTTTGTGGTTCTTTCAGTGCATGCACCCGGCGGGTTCAGCCCCAGCCTGGCCGAGGGTCAGCGAGGCAGCGAGTGTGCACTCAAGGCGCTGACGAGATGCTGTTGTCGGGGTGTCTAGGTGTCTTCACCTCCTGAGCTGAGTCCCAAGGAGGTTGGGTCAGTGGGCTGCCCCTCCCCACCCGTCACCCCAGAGTTCTTGCCCCCAGCCTCCACTTCCTCATCTGTTCACGGCAATGACAGGGCTTACCACCCCAGGACCTGGGACAATGGAACAAGGTGACGTGCTCACACAGGCACACGCTTGTCAGGTCCGGGCCGGGCACATCACTGCTGCCTGCTAGACCCTAGAGAGTACACGGGCAGGCCACGGGAAGGGCTGGGAGCCAGCGCCCTCTGCTCCCCTGTAGCTCTGCACGGTGTGCACGGCCCCTTCATCCTGGTGCCGGGACTCTGGGGAGGAGGATGAGGCTTTGGGACAGGTGCTCAAAGGCCTGAGCTTCCTGTTCAGGAGGAAAAGGTTCCTTAGGATCTGAAGGGGAACAGGGCCCCAGAGCTACAGGCCGGGAGGGCACCCATGGACAGAGCTGGGGTGGGCATGTGTGCTGACGTCCTCGGTTAACAGTCACCCCTTGTCCCACTGGGCTGCTGGGGGAGCAGGAGAACTCGGGAACCGTTGAGGCATTGGCAGCTGCGTTAAAAGTGTCTCACCATTTTACGTCACATACTTGTTTTCAGCAAAGTGACTGTTTGTGGTGGGGACAGGTGATCCTCTTTAAAGCCTTAGGGGAGGGCTTTTCTCTCCCACCTCCCTTGTTCACAGAGAGCAAGCAGGCCCATGGACTGGCAGGAGCCAGGGGGGCCACGGCCGCCCTCTGTCTGGTCCTGCTGGTGGCCGTGCAGGCTGCTGGTGTGGCCAGCTCCCCATCAGACCAGCAGTGTGGACAGGGCCATGCAGCACCTCATTTGTGCACTGGCTCATCAAAGGCCACACCAGCTGCTGGAGGCCCTGGCTCCTGGGCGTGGCACAGATCTGCCCCGGGCCCTCCCAGCTGTGCCCCTCTCCCAGGGCTCAGGGGTCGCCAGTGGCACTACCGTCTATAGAGGACATGGCCTCTTCCCCTGACTTTCAGCAAAGTGCACAGCCCACAGCCAGCCCAGACCCCTGGCTAGATGCAGACCACCCAAGTACAGGGACCAAGGCCTGCTGAGCGCAGCCCAGGAGAGGGTCAGAGGCCTGGGGAGCCGTGGAGGGGCTGCCCAGGAGGGCGGGGTTGGGAGAAGGATTTTGTTTCCAGTCCCGAGGGGACCCTTGGTGAGCTCTGCTCCTGCCCCGGACTCCCCGTGTAGTTCTCTGTTCACGCTCTCCTGCTTCTGTCATCTCTGTTTTTGATGCTGTGAGACCATGTTTTATCAATGACACATCTTTTCCTGTTTGTCTTGAATTGTTTAGATTGTTCCAAGTTGTTGGGAAAATAGATGATACGCTTGCCCTGCTCAACCTGGTGAGTTATTCCTTTCATTTCTGGGAGATGACTGTGTTGTAGCTCCACACCCCCCAGGAGGACAGCATGTGACGTCAGTTTCTCTGGGGCCCCTGGGTGTGCAGAGCCTGGAATCTGTCCACTCCTGGGCCCTCAAATGGTCTTCCCTGGGGGCGCCACTGAGAAGATGAGCCCCCTCCCCTCCCCGTCGTGCAGGCAAGGGCATGTGCTTCCTTGGGGTCTGACAGTGATGTCCTTCTGGGGTGGGGTACTGCCAGCCAGCCCCCTGGGCAACGTGGGCCTGAGTGGCTTGCCTGCCTGCCCTCCTCCCTCCCCCTCCTTCCCAGGCCTGCATGATGACCATCACCTTCCTACCATTCACGGTAAGTAACCGCAGTTTCCTCTACCAGTCCCCTTAAGGCCTTGCTGAGTGCCACCCTGGGTCCACTTCTGCTGGGCTGGAGGACTCAGAACCTAAGATGTTCCCTCCTCAGAAACTCAGACCAGCTGGGTAGTCTAGGGCCTGGACCACACAGTTGCAAAGAGGAGAGAAAGTTCTGGGGAAAGGGCGTACCTGGGGTTTCTAGGCTGGGTGGAGGAGGGGAGGCATCCAGCAGCCCCGAGCAGGGCTTGCAGTGCCAGAGACACCAGCCTGGGTCTCCTAGGGCCCGATGAGGGGCATCCCCTCTGTACTCACTGATGCTCCCAGCTCCTGCCTGGCCCCCATGTCCACGGCCTCCTGGCTGTCCCAGGCTCGTCCGCAGCATGTGGTGCCCACGCACTTCCTTGTCTGACAGCTCCCCACAGCTTGGTCTCCCCATTCACACCTGCCCCAACTCACTCTGGATTCTGAGCGAGACCAGCGGTCTGAGCTCACAGGGCTGTGCATCACAGAGAACTGGGATTTGGGGAATTCTTTATGAATCTGATGATATTTCAGCTTGAAAGGCTTAAAGCATTCCATAGGATTGCTCTCATGGGAAGGGGACACCCCCAGAGCTCTGGCTGCCCCCACCCTGAGACAGCTCTACTGCTGAACAGCCCAGCTGAGATGCAGGAGGCTCACAGGCCTGGTGCTCTGGGGCCCTGCAGAACCTGGTTTCATGTGTCTTTTGGCTGCAGTTTTCCTTAATGGTGACCTTCCCGGAGGTGCCTCTGGGTATCTTCCTATTCTGTGTGTGTGTGATCGCCATCGGGGCTGTGCAGGTAGGACCCCAGGCCTGCCTTTCCCTCCCCACATAGTCTCCTCTTGGAGCACGTGTTGTGCTCGTGTTCTCGGGTAGCACGTGGCCTGCCGGCTGCGATGAGAGCTGTGTAGACAGGGTGCCCATGTGGAGCACCTGCCGGAGCCACAGCCAGACACGTGGAGATGCTCGGAGCCTGAGCTTCCTGTGCTGACGTGGAGGGAGGGCAAAATGGGGCCGCCCAGCGTCCTCAGGTGCTGGGCAGGTGGGGCAGCCCTGAGACTCCCACATGCGGTCCTGGGAGCCAAGCAGGGGCCCCTGTCCCCTCTCCACCCCCAGCATCCCACTGTGAGCCTCACAGCAGAACCCTACCTCTCTGGGGTCCCCACCCACGGCCCCCGCATGTGTGGGTGGGAGGAAGGGGTCACCAGCCAGAGGCCTCTGCTCGTGCCCTGCAGCCCGCCTCTCCCACAGGCGCTGATCGTGGTATATGCGTTCCACTTCCCCCACCTCCTGAACCCCCAGATAGAGCGCTCCACCCACAGGGCCCTCTACCGGCAGCACGTCCTAGGCATCATCCTCCGAGGCCCGGCCTTATGCTTCGCTGCGGCTGGCTTCTCCCTGTTCTTCTACCCCGCGGTGAGTGGGGGAGTGGAGGAGGGGAGGTGACCACTGGGGGAGCAGACACCCCCAGGAGGGTGGGGAGGGGGCTGCGCACAGAGGAGCGAGCCAGTCTGCGTGGGAGAGGGCCAGGGCTGTGCCAGGGTCACACAGGGGCCACTGGGCAGCGAGCAGCCCGGCCCCCAGGATGCCAAGGAGTGCAGCTGGAGGGAGGAGGCCCTGGGACCCGCTCTCGAGGTGAGGAGTTGCTGCCCTAGGATCCAGGCCCGCATGAGGAAATGCGTCATCAGAGGAGGGGCAGAGTGCCAGCTGCCGTGACTCATTCCCCCGTTTCCCCAAGTGGGCGCAGCTCGAAGACGCAAGGACGCCTGGAGTGGGGCTATGCTTGTTTCCTTGGTGGACAGGAACCTGCACGAAGTTGCCAGCACAGCCAGCACCACACAGCTTCTGGGTGGGGGTCGGAGCTGCGCTGTCTTGACGAGGGACACCCCCAGTCACCTCAGGAGACACAGCAGCGGGTGGGGAAGCCGACATGGATGTTGTGCCATCCTGAGAACGTGCGTGGAGAGGAGCCACCCCGAGAGGGAGAGAGCGAAGGAAGAAATTTCCAGAACCAGAAGAGGAAGCTGGAGAAGTGGAGAAAACAGAAGGGAAGTCTTTGGTGGAAGGAGCCCCAGCCTGGAGCCCAGAGGAGGCCCAGATGGAAACGGGAAGGTGAAGCCATGGTGGCGGTCAGCACGCACCTCACCCCGGCGATGGTTCCGTGGGGTCCACGCTGGTCACTCATGGCACGAGGCAGCTCAGAACCGTCCTAGCCGAGGTCAGAGATCAAGGTCGGAGATCAAGGTCGGCTGATGCCATTTTTTTAGGCGACAGCTACTATAATAGGAATGTTCTAGTAACGCTCCATCACGCAGAAAGGAGGTAAATACTGACAGATGCGGCTACAGGTGGAACGTGTGAGACAAAATGGACTCACACACCGGAGCATCGCTCATCACGAGAAAACCAGTACTGGCTGTTGTTGTAAATGTCTAATAAGCGTTTGAAGAGAATTCCAAGTTTAAAACAAACAGGCAGGCGAAGGCTGCAGAGCCTCGTCCCCTTGGGATGGAGCTGGACGCCCGAGTCAGCCCAGGGCAGGCGGGTGGGCGGGGAGGTGGACGCTGGCGCGCGCGAGGTGAGGGGGGTGCCTCAGGCACCTGTTTGGCTTCCTCAGACGTTGAGTGTGTTTGTGCTGATGGGAAGGATGCTGCAGGGGAGCTGGGGCCAGGCGAGGCATCCTTGCCCGTGGCCTGCAGTCAGCGGCTCCCGGTGGACAGGGCGGGGCCAGTGAGGGGACAGACGGAGAGATGGAAGGACAGTAAGGGGCAGTGGGGCTGAGGCCACGTCCGAGTCCTGGTTTCAGGAAGGACTCTGCACCCAGGGTAGTGGACGGCAGGAATTGGTTGGATAAAGTTGGGGTGAGGGGTAATGAGGATCATCGCGGGGAGGATTGAGGGGACAGCTGGGATGTGTGGGTGGCCTTGGCGAGAAGGAGTGCACAGAGCTGAGGACCGCAGGGGCCTGTGCCCCCTGGCAGGGCCTGGACGCTGGACTCTGGCAGGGCTGGGGTGAGTGGGCCCCAGAGGCTAAGCCAGGAGCTTAGGCTGGGCAGGCAGTACCCAGCGTGCTGGGGGTCCAGCAGGCGCCGCAGCATCAGGTCCATGAGGAGACTGGGCAGTGTCCGTGCCCTGGGGGAATGACAGCATTGGGGGAGGGGCCACCCGGGCCAACAGACTGGGGAAGAGGAGGGTCCTCCGTGGGGCTGGGAGGGCCCGAGCAGTCGGCAGGTCCAGTGGCCTCAGAGGTGCTCCGTGACAGAGCAGTCAGTGCTCTGTCCACCTCCTTTCACCTGTCAGTCAGTTCTCTTCTGTGCTGCGTACTTCACTCCTTCCTCTCCGTTCCCCCTCCCCTGCAGTGCGGTTCTGACCCCTCGACCCCTCACCTCGAGCCCTTGCCTCCTCGTGTGGGGCCCCACGCTCATCACCACCTGTGAGACACGCGCCAGGGCTTCCTGACCCCCAGGGAACCCCCCGTAACCTCCTCAGCAAGCCCAAGCCCCCTCCTCCAACACATCCTCGCCACCCGCTTCCCTCATCCGGGACCCTGTGTTGGGTCCACCCTCCAGGTCCAGCCCCTTCTCACCGTCCTGGTCCAGGTCCCCCTGGACCACCTTCCTCCGACGGTGGCATTCACGGGTCCCAGGGCCTCTCACGCCAGGACCTGGCGGCCTGCACTTCCCACCTGTCCTTCCAAGGACTCAGGTTCCCTCTTGCACTGTTCCGTTTCCTCCTTTTCCTCCTGTTCCGTGGCACCCCCTCCTGCTGACCCTGCAGTGGTCACCATTGGCCTCCTTCTAGAATGTTCTGCTCTTACCTGCCTTGTGCCTGGGAGGTGCCTCTCTCAGTGTATGTTTGTTGAATGACGTGTATGGTATGGTCTCTTGGAGCAGGGAGACTGGGTTATAAACAGACCTATCACTCCCACTCCCACCCCCACCCCAGCAGCCCGTTGCCTCCCTGAGTTATATACTGTGTATTGTCTCTAGCCCCCATTGGGTGACCTTGAAGTCCTTGGCGTGCGGGACAGAGGGGAGGGAGCCCTCCACTGAGGGCGGGGTGGCAGGGGTGTGGGCTGCGCCCTGTGGGCACAGCGATTGCAGGGGTGAATTGCAGAGGTGAGCAGAGCCCTCATGGGACTTGCTGGCCTGCACCAGCCTGAGGGCTAGGACTTCCAGAGCCCAGTGCAAGGGCGCCTGCTGCAGCCGCCTCCGGGCCCAGGAAACACTGCCCAGTTGCCCTCCACATCCCTTTTTATTTTTATTTTTTATTTTTTTTCACAATTTTTGTGTGTGTGTGTGTGAGGAAGATCAGCCGTGAGGTAACATTCATGCTAATCCTCCTCTTTTTGCTGAGGAAGACTGGCTCTACGCTAACATCTATTGCCAATCCTCCTCCTTTTTTTCCCCTAAAGCCCCAGTAGGTAGTTGTATATCACAGTTGCACATCCTTCTAGTTGCTGTATGTGGGACGCGGCCTCAGCATGGCCGGAGAAGTGGTGGGTCGGTGCGCGCCTGGGATCCGAACCGGGCCACCAGTAGCGGAGCGCACGCACTTAACCACTAAGCCACGGGGCTGGCCCTCCACATCCCTTTTTAAATAATCGGGTATAACATAAGATTTACCGCTGTAACCATTCTAAAATGTGCGACTGTGCAGCAGTAATGTCATTCACATCGCCGTGCAGTCATCGCCTCCTGTGTGGTTCTAGAACTTTTTATCACCCCACACAGAAACTCCGTCCCCATCAGCAGTCACTCCCCATCTCCCTCCCCAGAGTCCCTTGAAACCACTATCCTACTTTCTGTCTCTGTGGATTTACCTGTTCCAGGTATTTCATATAAATGGAATCATAAAATATGAGGCTTTGTGTCTGGCTTCTTTCACGCATGTTTGCAAGGTTCATCCACACTGTAGTGTGTCTCAATGCTTCGTTCCCCTGCGTTACCCAATAATGCTCCCCGTGTGGATGGACCTTGTGTTGATGGACAGTTGGGTTGCTTCCACGTTTTAGCTGTTGTGAACATGGGTGTGAAAATGTCTCTTTGAGATCCTGTTTTCAACTCTTTTGGGAATATGCCCAGAACTAGGATTGCTGGATCATATCAATTGTTTGAGGAACGTCCATACTGTTTTCCACTGCGGCTGCACCATTTTACACTCCCACCAACGGTGCCCAGGGTTCCAGTTTCCACACCCTCGCCAGGACTTCTTTCTGCTTTGGGGTAGTGGGCATCCTCCTGGGAGGGAGGTGGTGTCTCGTGGTGGAGTGGACTTGTGTTTCCCTGATGGTAGTGATGCTAAGCATCTTCATGTGCTTGTTGGCTGTGTGTGAGTGAGAAACGTATCCTCAGACCTGTGCCCGTTTTTGAACCAGGCTGTCTCTTGTGGGGTCTCTCCATATTCTGGATCCTAGACCCTTATCAGGGAGATGGCTTGCAGACATTTTCTCTGTCCTGTGAGTTGTCTATTCACGCTCCTGATAATGTTCTGTGATGCAGAGTTCTTCGTCCTGATGACGTATAATTCACCTGTTTTTTCTTCTGTTGCTCACGCTGCCCTCCCTTTGGAGCCCATCGCTGCAGGGTGGGATTCCAGCCCCCCTCGGAGGCACCACACCCCCGACTGTCCCCTGGGTGGAGGTGCCACACCCCCTGACCTGTCATGTGTCTCCTGCAGTCGTACCTGCTGATGGCGACGGTCGTCTTCCTCCCCTACCTCAGCAAGGCCACCAGCTGGTGCAAAAGCAGGCTTGTGGGTAGGTGCCGGGCGGGCTGGCGTTGGGGCCTCGGCACAGCTTCCAGGGCCTACAGAGCACCTGTGACGGCCAGGCATCCCTGCGGGGTCCCGGCCCCCAAGGGCTTGGCCAGCTCCTCCTTCCTGGCACGTCCACAGGCCCCCGGGAGCCCCCACATCACAGCATGGAGTTCTTCACCTTCGACCTGCACGAGCCTCTCAGCAAGGAGCGAGTGGAGGCCTTCAGTGACGGGGTCTACGCCATCGTGGCCACGCTCCTCATCCTGGACATCTGGTGAGGACCCACACTTGGGCTGCCCCAGACATGACGGAGGGGGGTCCACGGCCCACCTCTCTGCGAAGTGTCCCTCATCCTCCAACCCCACAAAGGCGCTGTGGTCTCCCAGCGCCACCCTCCCCTGGAAGAGGAATCCCACCCTGGGCAGAGCTCCCAGAGTGGGGGGTCTCCCTGCCAGCAGTCCCCACCTGAGAGCACGGGCCAGGGCAGGGGACGGAGGTCCCTCTCCCCATCTGGTCTCCCCATCCGTCTCCGCGACCTGCCCGCACCTCCGTTCCGCCTTGGGGTCTTGTTTCTTCCCTTCACTGTTGGCTCCCCTGCTCTGCCTCTTCAGCATTCTGATCTTAGGTATCGTGTTTTATTTGCTTCTTTTCCAAACACTCCATCCTTTTTTATAGTCGTACTTCAGTACGTTCCTATCGCGTTAACACGTCAGAGCCCTCTGGTTGACATCCTGCATCTGATAATCTGAAGTCTCGATTCTCTTAATTTTCTCTTGGTAGCTTTTTCCTACTGTGACTTGAGAATTCTTGAAAATGGGGAGCAAACAGTCATTGGTACTGATCTCTGAGCCTGGACCTAGGGTCCAGAATGCTGTGGCTTTGCTCCTGCCCTGCAGCCAGGGCCACGCTGTCTCGGGCCCCTCGCCAAGCAGCTGCGTGGGACAGCTGTGGCTGGGGACCCCGGGGCCTCCTTCCCCCACCCAGAGCCACAGTCACCCTCCCTGCAAGCCCTGAGGACCCGGGTGGGGGTCCCCAGGCAACCCCCCAGGCTCCACCTCCTGTCCCCACCTTCAAACCTTCGAAGTTCCAGCTCCCCCCCAACACATGTGCAGCTGCCACTGTGAGCACAGAGGCGTCCAGGCTGCTTCACTCCCCTCAGTGATAAAAGATGATGCCACCACTGTGCGCTCTGGGCTATGCAGTTGGGGGGCAGCAGCCCCCACGACCCCCATGAAGGGGAAGAGCCAGGGGGCCAGATGTGCCTCAGAATTGCTCTTTACAATAAAGTTTGTCCCAGGAATCTGAGAACTGTGGAGGCAAGCCCCCCTCAGATCTGCAGAACTGCTCCTCAGGATGGGCAGCTGCAGGAGGGTGGACAGACCACAAGAGTACCCACCCAGGGAGGCCAAAGGGGCTGCAGGCTGGGGGCCAGCCCTGGGGTCTGGCGGGCAGGGCTGCCAGTTAGTGAAGAAGAGACAGGATACAGTTAAATTTGAGCTTCAGATGATTGACACATAATTGTTTAAAATACTAAGTGTGTATATAGACATAGTAAAATGAAAACTTGGTGTGCTCAAGTCCTTGTCATTCATCTGAAATTCAAGTGTGCCGGGGGGGAGGCAGCCCTCACTGGCTCAGGCGGGGCGGGGCTGCAGCCCCGACCAGACACCCGTGGTAAGTCTGCTACAAATGCCATCTGTTCACCATCCTCAGCGAGGACAACGTGCCGGACGCCAAGGACGTGAAGGAGAAGTTCCACGGCAGCCTGGTGGCAGCACTGAGCGTGTACGGGCCGCATTTCCTGGCGTACTTCGGCTCCTTTGCCACGGTGGGCCTGCTCTGGTTCGCCCACCACTCGCTCTTCCTGCACATCCGAAAGGCCACACAGTCCATGGGTCTGCTCAACACCCTCTCGCTGGCCTTCGTGGGCGGCCTCCCGCTGGCCTACCAGCAGACCTCGGCCTTCGCTCGGCAGCCCCGCGATGAGCTCGAGAGTGTGCGTATCAGCTGTGCCATCATCTTCTTCGCCAGCATCTTCCAGTTTGCCATCTGGACCACAGCTCTGCTGCACGAGAGGGAGACGCTGCAGCCCTCGGCGCGATTCGGGGGCCAGGAGCACGCGTTCATGTTCGCCAAGCTCGCGCTGTACCCCTGCGCCAGCCTGCTGGCCTTCACCTGTACCTGCTTCCTGAGCAGGTTCAGCACCGCCATCTTCCACCTCATGCAGATCGCCGTGCCCTTCGCCTTCCTGCTGCTGCGTCTCCTCGTGCGCCTAGCCCTGGCTGTCCTGTGGGCCCTGCGTGGCCTCCCCGTGCCAGAGCTTGGGGCTGAGGATGACTCTCGGTCCCCGCTCCTCCCTGCTCCCTGCTAGCGTGAGGTCCCTGCCCACCCCAGCCGGAGGTCACAGTGTCAGCCCGGTGGCCCGAGCTTGGGTTTTCCTTTCCTTGTGAGATTTCATGTTCTACTCAGTGTCCTCAGGTGGTTTTCCACTCGCAGAGGAGAGCTTCACAGGACCTCGACTTTGTGTCGCTGCACGTGCCCATCTCTGCCCCCTGGGCCTGCATTCTCTGTCTCCATCAAGCTAACACAAGCCGTGTGGGGACTGACATTTCGGTGGTTCCAGGGGCAGCTGGGGCCCGGCCGGGAGCCCACAGCCTCAGCCTCGTGGGGGCATGGGTGTGCATGTGGCCCTGGGTCCTCAACAGGCAGTGCAGCCCCCCAGACCTGGCTTAGCCCACCCCGGCCCACCCTCCCAGCACGCAGAGCTCCCTGGCGGCTGCTGGGCTGCCAAACCGTCCCTCCCACGCTGGTCATGAGGCACAGTGGGGGTGACAGCAGCAGGACAGCAGTGCTGACTGTATTGTCCCGGATATAAGTTACGGTCACATTCAGGTATAAATTACACACGAGGGATTGGTGCAGAGCCTGCAGCCCCACCTGGCACACAGACTCACTTAAATACAAACAGTCACCCTAATCACAATTTACAGACAATTCCTACAGACTGAAACCAACACGGGCCTGCGAAGTAAAAACTACACCACTGGGGACTTGGGGACGTGACCACAAGGAATGTGCATCTGTGCACTGGAGGCATGTGACAAGAACATCCACCACAAATGGCTGTTACAGTGCATTGATCTATGTGGTTTTGGCAGAAGCTTGTGGGGCACAGGGCTGGGTGGGGCCCTGTCTGAGGTTGAGGCCAAAACTCAGGGCAAAGCCATGGCCGAGGGGTATGAGGGCCCAGCCTGGCCAGACAGTGCCAAGCGCAGAAGGGACGACTGGGAAAGGTGTGGACTTGTGAATCCCTTCTTTGGGGGCCTCAGGAGAATTCCCAAGCAGACAGTTCATGCTGGGTCAGGGTCCTCCCAGAGTCAGATGTGACTCTGTGGGCCGCCTGACTCGGGAGCTCAGTGGAAGATGCAGCTGCGAGCAGCCCACCTGGCAGCCCTGTCCCATGTCCCACAGAGCCGGGTCTCCACATGGAGAAGCACTGAGCCCGCAGAAGTCCCATCTGCTGAGCAGACGCTAGAAACTGGCATGCTGAGTGCTGGCAAACAGAACATAAAGTGCCAAGTCGGTCCTGGGGTCACACTTCACTTCCATAACCTTCCTCTGGACCTCCAGGGCCCAGGCCTGCATGCGTTTACTTCTGGTCCCTTCCAGGTGTACTCTGCCTGCCCTCGTGAGGGCCCGGCCCTCCTCCTCCCGCTGCCTCCTGGGCACCACACTCCACCTTGAGGACGGTGGCTGAGCCCACTTGGCCTCCTTAGGGCCCTGCTCTCCCCAGGTGCAGCCCTGTCACTCTGGGGCCACCAGCCAGGCTCAGGACCACGCCCAGCCAGACACTGCCTGGGCCCTGTGGCCCAAGCAGCTCGGCCACAGTGACAAGGCCAGGAGAGAAGGCACCTCCCCCCAAAACACACAGCAGGTGCCTCCGCCCAGCCCTCGTTGGTGAGGTGAGGCCAGAGGAGCTTGTGGCTGGGGGTCCCATGTCTCTAGGCACACCCAGGGCCCACGGAGTCAGCTGCTGTGTCGGAGCATCCAGGGGGCGGCCCAGGAGCACAAGATGAAGTCCAGCGCTGCCCAGCTCAAGGGGCTCAGGGAGGTGAGGGACACAAAGGGAGGAGTGCCCCCCTTCCAGGGGACGAGAGGCCTGGCCAGCTAGAGACCTGTGCCCACCCCAGTCACTGGTGTGGAAGCCCAGAGGGAATGCCCACTACCCACCCAACAATTCCCATGTGGCTTGGGGACAAGGGGGAAACGCCCCGAGGTCAGGGCTGCAGGCAAGTCCATCCACTGGCCGGTGCTGCTGTAGTACGGGCGCAGACTGCTCTAGGGCCTGCCCTCCTCTACCTGGGGTCACCCCCAGGGGTAGGCACTCCATCTGCTCGGGCATCCTTGGGGGTCCCGGCCTTCCTGGGCTTCTGCTTGGCCTTCCTGAGCATGTGGACCTGTTCCAGGGCAGGTGAGGTCAGAGGGCTGGGCGACGCCACAGGCCACCTGGCCCTGGGACCCCAGGATGCCCAACGCCAGCTCAGCCCTACTGTGGGATTGGCATTTACAGAAGGGGAGGAGCAGGGGGCTGCCATGACTGGTTTGTGGGGAGGGAGCTCAAGCCTGGCCACTGCCCAGCAGACACCCCTCCCCTCTGAGGCCCCAGGGGGGCCTTGTGACCAGGAGTCAGTGAAGAACCAGCCGCAGCAGGGCTACCAGGGCAGTGCTGACCACTCTGTACAGCTGAGGCCGGCCAGCACTGAGCCCACCTCACCTCTCTGGCCCCACCCGGCTCACCCCACACCTGACATACCTTCAGGCCGGTGGCTGAGATGATCATGTGCCCGGGACCCTGGACCCATGGCTCGCCGTCCACCTGCACAGGTGTGGCTTTGAGGAGGGTGACGCGGAAGTAGGAGCCCTGGGCGATGCGGATGCCGGAGCGCAGCCCACCCTGGACCTGGCCCTGGCCGGGAGAGCACACACCAGGCTCAGCGGGTCGCAGCACCACACCAGGCCCAGCCCACCTGGCCTGGCCACTCACCATGTGCATGACGCCCGTCACCCCTACCACCTCCAGCAGCCCATCGTCCATGCGCGGCTTCTCAAACCTCGAGTCGCTCTCAGAGCCCCAGAGATCAGCCCCTGAGCCCCAGCTGTACAGAGAGGGAGCAGTAGGAAGGTAAGTGCAGGCTGGATGAGGACCAGAGCCCTCGGGGAGCCCCACCCGCTGGCACCTGGGGATGTTGATGAAGATGAGACCCTCGATGCTGGGCAGCTCCACCTCCTGCTGCTCTACCTGCAGCCGGATCTCCTTGTGCAGGCTGCGCGAGTGGCTGATCTTCTGCAGCCCAACTCGCACATACACGCCCTTGTTGTGGAACCTGCAGAAGAGGGACACCTACTATCACAAGGGGGGCCCTTCCCCACCTAAAGCAGCCCCGGGTTGCAGCCCCCTCCACCAGTTCCCTCCCGTGAGTCCCCAGGAAGTGGAAGCACGCCATCACCAGGGGCGGCCCCAAGCTCCCATCCTTGCTCAGCTCACACCTGCTTGTGAACCTGCCGGGCTCCTCCTCCCGTGCCTGGTGGAAGTCAAGGCTTAGCTCCGCATCAATGCCAATCCCACAGTAGTTACTCATCTGCACGATCTGGGGAAAGGCGTGTTCTCCTGTGGCCCCATCAGCCCCCACCAGGTACTCCCCACATCCCCCAAGCTGAGTCCAGCCTCCTTGTCTCCAACCCAACTCCGCTGCCGTGGTCAGAGTTGCTTCCATCCGGTGACCGCCCTGCTTAGTAACTGCCAGCACCCAGAGAAGCAGCATGGCACTCGGAGCAGGCAAAGGTCTGAGCCAGCCAGCATGAGGCACGCCACTCGGCAAGGCACTGCTCTGTGCCTCGGCTTCCCCATCCGTAAAGGGGATGGTGCTGGAGCCTACACCAGAGTGTGGCTGGACAAGGATGAGTCGCCTGCAGGGGCCCAACAGTGCCATACCCTCACCGGGCACACGGGTACCTTGGGGGGCTCAACATCTACCACGCTGTTCTCTGCACCGCTGGCCTCATGAGCGTCTAGCAGGATGGTCCAGCGGTCCATGAGCACAGCATCAGCCTCATCCACAGACACCAGCACAGAGAATGGGTCCTCTCCACTGTAGCCCGCCCCCCAGCGGAGGACCCGGCCAAGGTCGTTCCCTGGGACACGGGTGAGATGCACACTGACTTTCCACACCCCCACCCCCACCCCAGACCTCAACTGAAACTCGGGGCAGGAACGGATAAACCCCACCTGTGCCCAGAGGCAGGATGGCCACAGAAGGCTCCGGGCAAGCCAGACGGTGTCGCATCTCCTCCAGGGCAGCAAGCACCCAGCCCACAGTGCCGTCCCCTCCGCACACCAGCACCCGGAAGCAGGGCACCTGGGAGAACATGTGGAACCTGGCGATAGGGAGACAGGCATTCTGCCACAGCCACAGCCACACAGGTGTGCAGCGAGAGGGGGCAGAAGTCACGACCCCAGGGCAGAGCAAGCCGCAACTCATCCCATGCCCAAGGCAGCCCGTGAGGGTTCCACACTGAACCCCAACCTGTTCCCACTGCCCATCAGTGAGTGTGTGCAGGGCCCCCTTCTGGGGCCTGCCAGGCTATATGTGGTGCGGCGGACTCACCCGGGCAGAGGCCCCCCGTTGGTCAGCTCAAAGACCTGGTGAGGGTTCAGCAGCTTCCGGAAACTGCAAAGCAGGTCACGGCCCTTGAGACCTCCACTTTTGGGGTTCACAAACACGAGGAGGGGGCGGCAGTCTGGGGGCAGCTTCGTGTGCTGACAGACAAGGCTGGATCAGGGCAGGCTCCCAAGGCCGCCCCTCAAGACACAACCAGTGTCTCCCCGACCCTACTCCCTGGGCAGGGAGCACCCCCACCCTGAGCCCACCTGGCCTGAGCCAGCTTGGGGCCAGCCCCTCCCGAAGAAGGCACACACAAGGCCCACAGTCTGCACAGCCATCCCTACCTCACCACTGACTGCTCGGGGCACCCCCCATGGCAGAGGGACACCCCCAGGCCACTGACCAATGGGGCAGAGATGAGGCTGGCCAGCCTGGAGCTCCAAGCACACACACCACACCACACCCACCACCTGATCCACACAGCTAATGGGCCAGGCTGGAAGCCCATGCAGGACCCCACCTGCCCCTCCAAGTCACCCAGTGCACACCCGGGAGGGACCACACACCTTGGGGGGACCACACGCCCTGGGGCCCCCAACCACCCCCACAGCTGCCAGGAGAACAGCCCAGTTCACAGGGCAGCCCCATGCCTCCCCTCACCTCTGGACGAAGCCCAGCCCCCCCACACATAACCCCTGAAACACAGTGCCCAGGAGATAGTGGGCAGGGGTCCCCACAATGGTGAGGGTGGCAGTCTGGGGCCCCCACAATGGTGAGGACGGGGGGCTGGGGTTCCCACAATGACAAGGATAGAGACTGGTATCCCTACCATGGTGAAGACAGGAAAAGCTAGGAACTCCATAATAGCACAGAAAGGGTCCTAGGGTCCCCACAATGGCAAGGACAGGGGATTGGGGTCCCCACAATGACAAGCATGGAAGGCTGGCATCCCCATGATGGGGGTCGCTGAGCAACAGGAGACAGACAGGCCGGGCGCAGACACAGTGGGAAGCGGCCGTGGCTCAAGGCCGACGACACACGTGTGACCCAGTGGGCAGAGCTGCCTGCGGTCACCACTTACCTGCTCACCCCGGGGGCAGGCAGCTGACAGGAGAGAGAAAGCGCGTGTCGGCATCGCCCGCCCAGCTCTGCCCACGGAGCCGGCTGACCAGGGCCCTGACCTGCAGGTGCTGTGTCCTCATCAGGACAGTGGGACAGCCACCCTGTCCTGACCAGGGCAGGACCCACCTTCTTCATCTCGCCTCGGGGTGGGGACAGCGCAGCCAGAACCTGGAGGTGTCGCCAACCCAGCCATAGACCCTAAACTCATTCTGCTCTTTTCTGCTCTGCCTGGACGGGAGTCAGTGGTCAGGGTCAGAGATCAGGAGCAGAGCAGCCATAGACACCTCAAGGGGCCCTTGGGGCCAGCAGGGCCGAGGACCAGAGGCTGCTGCAAAGGCACAAGGCGTGGGACGGGCATAGGACTCTGGCCCCTCACCTCACCCTGACTGTGCGGTGCCCACAGCAGAGCACACCTTCGCCCTGTGCCGGCCGCTGGGCACCCAACATCCAAGTCAGACAGCGTCACCTACTGGCCAGAAGGGGTCTGGGCACAAGCAAGCGTCCTGAGGCCTACCGCACAGGGGCAGTGGGGCCAGGGCCTGGCCAGATGCCCACACGGTCACAAATATACGCCGGCCCTTAGGAGGTGGCCTCCGCAGAATGGGAGCTGCGTGCTGCGGTCCTTGGCCCGTCAGCCGCCATCACAGGCCTCCACCTGGGACCTCGGGCCCCTCCCTCGGTGTCAATCAGACCGTGCATGGCAGATGGACTTCGCTCCAACCCTCGAGCATTAGACAAACCAGTGATGGAGGCCACGTCCCCCTAGTGCCTGCCCCAGGCCCACTCACCAGGACATCCGGGAGCACCAGAGCAGTCAGCAGCCGGCCGTGCACAACCGTGTCCTTGACCAGCATGTACAGCCGCTCGGCCTCTGCGAAGCAGGCCACGTCCAGCACCACAGCACCTGCAGCAGGTGGGCCGTGAGCTGAGGCTAGGGCCTTGCCTCTCCCTGCAGCCAGAAGGGGACCCGGCTCTCGCCGCAGCCAGCCTCAGGTCAGCCCATCCAAGCTCACATGGTGTGATCCCTCTCCCCGGGGAGCCTTCAAGGACAGCTGGACTTGAGAGACAGGACATGGTGGGTGCACGCGAGCGAGGCCACCAGGAGGTGGGGAGGAACAGCCAGGCCCACTCTTGTCCCCTGGCCCATGGAGCCCCTGGGACCCATGACGGGGGGGATGCACCCACAAGAACGGAGGATGCTGCTAACTGCTGAGGACCCACAGAAGGGACGTGGGCTCACAGTCTGTACTCCTGCTCATGGGCAGACATGAAGCTTTCTATGATAGAAGACGTGAACCCACGGGCAGAACAAGTATGGAGGACGCCTTCTCTGCACCTCAGTCACGTTTTAGCAAAAGCGTCGCAGCTGCAAGCCAGGAAATGCACACAAATGGCTCACTGGCACAGCCACAGCCATGGAGAAAGGTTGGTCCGGACGAGAAAACGTTTCACACGGAAGCAAGGAAGTCAAGGCTCTTTCCTTTAACTCCAGGAACGACCTCTAACCAGCCCAACCTCGCCCCTCGGGGCTCACCTTGCCAGGAGTAGACGTGGCTCACAGACACCAGGCCCACTGCAAAGACAGGCTGACTCAGCGGTCGCAGGACATGCACCACGGAGGCCCAGGGCCCGACCTCCCCAAGACCCCCAACTCCCCCCCGGGGCCCGACCTCCCCCAGACCCGACTCCCCAACCAGGCCCCCGACTCCCCCACCAAGGCCCAGACTCACCCCATCAGGCCCCCCACTCACCCCCCAGATGCCCGACTCCCTCACCAGGCCCCCGACTCACCCCCCCGGGGCCCGACCTCCCCCCCCAGACCCACGACCCATCCCCCAGGGCCCTGCCCTCAGGGCTGTCCACACTCATGCGGCCCACAGCCTCCTACCCAGCCCCTGCCTCCTGCTCAGGGTAATTTCACACCACCCAGCCGGGAAGTCCCTGCTCCCCAGCAGGGCCGGGGCAGAGAAGGCAGAGGCTGGACCTCAGGAGGCTCAGAAACGCCTCCTCCGAGGAGGCGATGCAGTCGGAGCCCTAGAGGTGAGCACAGAGACCCACCAGACAGGAAGCCCTCCGGGCGAAGGCTTAGGCAGCGTGTGGGGGCAGGAAAACCTGGCCTTGACACAGTAGCCCCATGGCCTGCTCTCAGGCCCCCATCCTGTTCCTGGTGACCAGTAGCCCCACACCAGCCCAGGCGGTCACACCTTTGGTGGCCACAGCCTCATCCAGCAGGCTGCTGTACTCCTGGGGGGACAGGCCCGGCGGCAGGCCACCAACAAACAGGGAGACACGCGGCACCACAACCCTGCTCTCGGCCACGTAGAACCGCGTCTGGCTCATCTGCCACAGGGATGTCTGTGGGAGGGGGAGGGGAGGAGGGCGCTGGGCAGAGCCCCAGGGGCGTGCCTGGCCCCCACCCTCCACATCCAGAGATGGGCTGCTGGAAGATTCCCCAAGAGGAAGAAACCGAGACAAGGAGAGAAGAGGGAGAACTCACAGGCGGCCTCCCTCGGGACAAGCCCCTCCACTGCCCTGGGGGACCCCACCTTCCAGGAACGGGTGACTTGTTAGGGAGCAGACAGACCCACCAGGGCCAGGAAGAGAGGCATTGCCAGCCAGGACGGTCAGCTGCCTGCCAGGGTGGACAAGGTATCCCGGGGCAGCTCCCTCTCCATGAGGTGGAGGCTGTGGCCGAAGGCCAGCAGCTCCCCAGGGACCAGCGTCCACACCCGCTGACCTGCCGGATGTCTCGAAGCCGGCCAAGCAAGGGCTCCTCATCCACCAGGACCGTCCGCTGGACTGCAGGGGCAAGAGGCATGGCCCATCAGCCCCGGGTGCCTTGCTCACCTCTGCACACAGCTGCCCTGAGGCCCAGGGCACTGAGGCACGCTCGTCAGAACGCTGGCGGCAGATGCCCACTCACCTTGCCTGCTGCCCATGAGCACCTCCACCAGCTGGAAGCTCTCAGGACCCTCAGCCTGTGGGGTCAGGGTTTGGGGCATCAGGCCCGGACCAGCTCTCTCACCCTCCTCAGGACACCCACACAGGGCAGCCACACCAGGGCTGGGACAGTGGCCTGGCCCACCGGGCTGGCCAGGACCAAGGTGGGCCCAGCGTACACACCTCGCGTCCAAGCAGCGGGAGGACCTCCAGCACCACAGTCCGGGCAGTGCTCTGTGGGGTCACACGGATGGACACGTAGGCCACACCCACCCTGCAGGAGACAAGCTCAGGAGCTCTAGTCACGTGGCCCCGACCCCTCCCAACTCCCGCCAGCAGACCTTGTGCTTCAGGCCTGGGTCTCACTTGAGCCAGGCCGGGTAGATCTTTAGCACTTCCTGGGTGCGGGGCCGAGCTCGGATGATCCAGGCCTCGGGCGCAGCCTCGCGGGACCCAGAGCCTCTGCCGCCCTCCTCCTCCGCAGTCCCACCACTCCGGGCTTTTCCTCGGGCCCCGGGGTCGCCAGCCTGTGCAGGTGGGGGGAACACCTGCAGCTCGAAGTCACGAGGGTCCTCCATGATGTAGTAGGCCCGGAGCGCGGCCTCCTGTGGGGGGGTGGTCAGGTGTGCACGGGAGCCGGGGCCAGGCTGGACACCACACGGCCCTCAGGAACAGGCCTGCCACAGCTCCTGTGGGGGCTCCCTCTTACCAGCAGCTCCTCACTCCTGGCCAAGCGGGGGACAGTGATGACACGAAAGTGGTTTCGCTGCACGGCGTCATTGCCATCAAAGACCTTCAGGATCTGCTTGCCTGGGCCAGAGGGAAGTGAGTGTGAGTCCATGGAGCTGGGGACCGGGTGCAGAATGCGGGACGGCTGAGGAACGGCACGGGGATGTGGGACGGGTGAGGGACGGGACAGGGACGAGGGACGGGTGAGGGACGGGAAGGGGATGAGGGACAGAGTGAGGAACCAGATGGTGACGAAAGACGGAGTGAGGAACGAGATGAGGGACGGGTGAGGAACAGGACAGGTGAGGAACAGGATGGGGATGAGGAACGGGACGGGGATGCGGAACAGGTGAGGAACAAGATGGTGACGAAAGATGGAGTGAGGAACGGGATGAGGGACTGGTGAGGAACGGGACGGGGACGAGGGCTGGGTGAGGAACGGGACAGGTGAGGAACAGGATGGGGATGAGGGTCGGGTGAGGGACGGGACGGGGACGAGGAACGGGGACGAGGGACGGACGGGGGAACAGGGCGGGGATCCCGGCTGGGGACTAGGCGGTAGCTAAGCGGCACTTACCAGACTCCGGCGCCAGCGCCTCTCTGCCCGGGCCGGCCGGGGCGCCCGTGTCCACGCCGTCGTCCCCCTCGCCTGCGGGACGGGCACAGCGGCCTCTCACTCAACGCCCGGCCGGCCCACCCCCC